GGCGATGTTCCTACCAATTTATTATTGAACAAAGAAAAAACATAAACGACAATATAAGGGGAACATAAATACCACCAACATACGAAAACATTTGAAACATGATATGCTTGGGAAGGGTTGAGCGACCGTACTTCCCATGGACAAGTAACAGTATGGACTACAGTATTCGAGATGCCTATAACAAAGTTTTTAATTTTATGTATTTTTGTAAATTTTGATAAAAGTTAAGAAAAATTGTCCTTAAAAATTGTGAAAATCATAAAACTATGTGATTGAAATTGAAATTTGAACAGTTAAACAAACACTTAGACTTCACCGATGATTCTTTTAGGAACAAGTACAAAATTTGGTCCGACTTCATGCAATTTAGGTTCTCGATAAAGTCATGTCTTAGAGAACCATCTTCAAAACCATCCCCATAAATGATACTTAACTTTTCTTCAAGTTCTTCGTCAAATTTACATCTTTACAAATCTATTCAAAATAACATATATTTAGATCATGTTTGATGTCCACGTAGATGAAAATCTACTAAAAATTTCAAGTTGAAATCAACAGTTAATTTTAAACGTACATTTTATAGGCCTCACATCTTTTCAATCACGTGTATTTCATCAACTTTTATCAAAATTTACTAAAAATCTATCTAATCTACACCAAACATGGGCTTAATTTATTTATTTCGGTGAAGGTCAGTTTAATAAAGAGTTTTACATACCACACAAATTGATATAGCTCTTAGATTACAAAATCTCAAGATACTCAAATAGAGAAAGATTACAAATTCTCAAGATACTCAAATGGGAGAAAATAGAGACCTAAGGACAAAGCAGTTGAATAAAGAAAGGCGAACGAAATGAGGATATATGAGACACTATCTCTATACGTATATCTCCGTATCAAATTCAAAACAAAATAATAGTTTCTCTCCGAACAAATGAATCCGTATTGCGAACATATCCATCTATATTATCGCCACCAACGTGTTGCTATGACACCAGCTACAAGGGGCACCACCATCAGCATCCCATGCATGGCAAGGCCAATTGTCCCCGAGGCATCGGCCGGAGCATCATCACTGCCAGATACGGGGGCATCAGCAGCCGGTGACTTCTTCTTGGCCACTGCCGATGGAGCCGGGACTGGTGCTGGTGAACCAAAAATGCTCAAAGGCAGAAGAACCTTGTCCACTTGATATACTGCTAGCTGATTGTCCGTGTAAATTGTGTTAGCCACCGTGGCATCATCCACACCGGTCGACACATTCACTTGGTTGCCGGAGGTGGTCACGTTTAGAGGAAACTGCCCATTGTCGTCGTTTCCGGCTTGAGTCCTTAATGGATTACTTGCAGTTTGGAACTGTGACATTGAGAGAAAAGTGGGCAGTACATGAAATTGCACCAATGCAACTTTCTGCTGATCACTTAGGGAATTTAGAATGCCAGATTTGAGGCTAGAAATGGCGTTATCGGTCGGCACAAATACTGTTAAACCCTGATTTGAATTGTTGAGTTGTGTATTGATCTGGTCCCCTACTTGAGTAATTGAAAGAAGCCGGATGAACATAGTGAACTGGCCGGCCTTTTCAAGGATTTTGGTTATGTTGGTTGGACCGGCTGGCGCCGGGGCCTGAGCTGGTGTTTGAGCTAGGGTTTTGGTGCAGTAAAAGAGAAGTACAAGAAGTAACATAGAGAGAGGGAAGTGGTCCATTTTGGGGAGGAGATTGACTTGAATTATGGAGACCTATGTCACAACAATATGTAGAAATAGTGTACAAAGAATAATGTTAAGGGGAATTTTATGGTTAGGAACCAGAAAATGTTAGGTGAATTCAAATTTGGTAATAAGTCACAATTTTAGTTAAAATGATGAATCAGTCCAGTTAGTGTTTATTTTATTTGTGTGTGTGTGTG